GCAGATCGTGGAGACATTTTAATCGTCCACGATCAAAAACCGTGAGACGCACACCCCTAGTTGGAAGTTTAAGTTGCTGGCGCATGCTTCGTTCACGGTCGTCAGGTGCGCATAGGAAACATGCCACCCTATCGGCAAGGCTCATCGGCAGAAATATTCATATCGGCCGATGCCGATGATGGTCATTTAAAGCTTTTATCGGCCGATACTGATGTTGTCCCGATATCATCGTGCATCCCTAATGACAAGCCATGTGGTCACACCAAACATGACTTGAACACAAGCACATGGCCAGTAAAACCAATCACCAGCCATGTGCTCACACAAAACAGACATGAACACACAGCTAATGAAAACACTCATAAGCCACGTGTTCACACAAAACATGACAACATGAAAGCACACAGCTAGTGTAAAACACAAGCTGTGTGCTACACAGCACAATACAAAACATGAAACACGGCACACAGACAAGACAAAACAAGAACCCTGACAATGAGTTGCATGTCTGTTGCATATTCAACGTTTTTCTCTGGGTAAAACAATTAAATACTTACCAAAACAAAATTAAATCTGTACAAAATAAAATATAGTTTGTCAGATGTGGATCGAGGGTGGGGAAGTTGTAAATCACGTGAGTGATTACTCAACATTTACGTGAGAAATGCGTGCTGAATAGGTGTCTCGGAAAAATGTCAAAATCTTTTTTTTCAAAATCTCGGATAAAGACCAAAAAAATCGCCAATTGCAATGAGTGTTCAGCAGAAATATCAAGAGGGGGTAGCACGGCTAAGAATTTCAACACATCCAAATTCAGTAGGGAATGCAACCAAAAATTCTTCAGCAAGACGTTTCAACAAGGTGGAACAGTACTTTTTATATGCTAAGAAGCCTCTTGGATTAAAAGCAAGCAATCGCGGCATATAGTGCAGATTGTGACATTAACTGCCCATCATTGGTGTTTAATTGAGAACACAGTGTCTATTCTTTACCCATTCGAGCAACTAACGAGGGAGATAAGTGCATCTGGAGCATCTGCAGCGGATGTGATTCCATCAAATGTTGCGCTAAAGCGGCTACTGAGCAAGGACCTCGAAACTGACTAGGGAGTAAAAACCACAAAAAAATACTACTAGACGCGGTGACAAAGCGTTTTGCTAAAAATGACTCAGAACCTCTTTATTGTATCGTAACAGTGTTAGACCCAAGATACAAAGATAACTACTTCGATACAAACAAAAAGCAGGCAGTACGCATGATGCTGCTAGCACAGCTGGATTTGAGCGACCAAAGTGGTGGAAAATAAGCGGTGCGCCACCCAGAGGACAACCCAAAAGCCAAAAAGTCACGCAAGGACAATGAACATGCACCCAGTCTGTGTGACATGTTCGACGAAGTTCTGGAGGAAAATTTAGGATTAACCCTACCATGCCACAAATGGATGCCTACCTTGCAGAAATCCCATTTGAAAGAAATGAGAATCCTCTTCAATACTGGTGTGTCAATCAAGGTCGCTTTCCGTCTATTTGTGTGCACCGTGCACAAGCACCGGCAGTGAACGATTGTTCAGTGCTGCATCCAATGTGAAACAGACTGCACTGTGAAAAAGCAGAAAAGCTTATTTTTATAAAGAAGAACTTGCCCCTGTTTCTAAAGCAGCAACCTTAAAACTTGATAACAGCAAATGGACTGAATGAACTGTTCATGAGTTTGAAGTTTGTCATGTCATATGTTAATCTTTATGTTAAACAGATCTATGTTCATTTGAAATGATTAAATGTTTAGTGTGCACCATGCACAACGACTGAATGAACTGTTCATGAGTTTTTAAGCTAAGTTGTTTTAAATATGATTCAGTTGTTAAGAAGGATTGTTTTATTGCAAAAAAAAAACTCTTTGAAGTTTGTCATGTCATATTTTAATTTTTTATGTTAAACAGATCTATGTTCATTTGAAATGATTCAATGTTCTAGTCCACCATGCACAAGGACTGTATGAACTGTTCATGAGTTATTAAGCCATTTTATCATAATAGTTTTAAATATGATTATATTGTTGTTAAGAAGTAATGTTTTATTGCAAAGGTAAATTCTTTTAAGTATGTCATGTCATATTTGCATATTTTTTTATCTTTGTTTTACAGATCTGATCTATGAATGTTCAATTGAAATGATTTGATGTTCTGGTGTGAACCATGCTCAAGCGCCGACAGAAAACTACGTATTGGACAATAAAAGAAACAGACTGCACTTCAGTGGGGGGAAAGCAGTCAATCTTTTTCTGAAGTAGCAAAATGTATACTTGATATATAAACCACCAGCACTGGCATTTGTTAAGTTTATTAAAAGAAATATGTTCTATTAGATGTCAAATATGAGTTCATGTTGTTAATTAAAGAAATATTGGATAGCAAAAATCACCTCTGAAAGTTGTCATGTTGTCTCGTATTTTTTTATCTTACTTTGTGCCTCTCTTATAATGTTGGTCAGATGAATGTTAAATGGATCCAATACATGTTCAGTGAAAATAATTTGATGCAAAAATAAACTAGCTAGTACTGTATAGTATTGTGCATTATGCAAGTGATAAATATCGGTATCGGTCAGTAGTTGTTTGTTGAAATGAGTATCGGCAAAAAAAATCCCATCGGTGCATCCCTAATATTTTTCTTACAAAAACACATCGCTTCGCTTCAAAAGGCCTTTATTAACCTCCTGGAGCCATATGGATTACTTTTATGATAGATGGATGCGCTTTCTTGGTATTCAAAATCTAGGATCCCATTCACTCCCATTATAAGGCTTGGAAGAATCAGGATTTTTCTTTTTTTTTTTTCACAACAGATTGTGTTTGTTTGGCTGAAAGAAGAAAGTCATATACACCTTGGCTTGAGGGTGAGTAAATTATGGGATAATATTAATTTTGGGGTGAACTAAAGATTGATAAAGCATATAACTGCCCACCCCTGTAATTGGGATTTTTGGGGGGATTTTTGATTAGCAGTTGGGCTGATCTTATAGCAGACCGATGCAGCAATGGTTACGACATGGATGAACGCACCTTTGAACAAGCACGTAAAAAAATTCTAGCATTACAAAACATCATTCATAAACGGTAAGTTCCAGTCCTTGATTCTGATTGGTCAAGCTGTGTTTTATTTCCGATAACACGTCTATGAACGCTTCACCCAACGGTTCTGTGCATAAACTATTTATTATGTCTATGGTTCTGTGTGTATATCACTACACAACACCCTAGCAACCACTCTTAGCAACATAAACTTTTGTTTATGAACATTGTTCATTGTTCATAAACAACATAAACATTGTTTTGTTCTCAATGATATTGTTCAATACAGCTTACTGTATTATTATGTACAGCATTGTGAGAAATCGAGTGAGCGAGTGTATTAGCAGCTACCTGAATTTAGATATAGCATTTTCCTTCAGGTCAGTCCTATGTTCATAATAAAAAATCCGTTTTATGTCAGCTGCGATATCTTGTCCTTTTAACAGTTAAGGGGTTTTCCTGTGCTTGACAGCACTAGTCGTCTATGCATTTGAGAGTTGCTTGTGTCTTGCTTGGTGTTCACAAGTTTCGGTCCTTTCAATATAAAAGTCTTCGCTACTGACGGACTCACTCATAAAGACAGTCTTTGCCGCCATCTACCGGCGTAATAATGTAACCTCTGTTGCTCTTAACGGTCAGGGAATTTTTTTTTTTTTCAGCGGAAGGAAGGCTTTTGATGATTTAAAAAAAATGAATGAAAAGTGATGAAATGAAAGTTGCATTGATACATATTTTTTTGGCTAACGTTGAATGGCCGCTTTATAAAAGCGTGGCTTACAGTGAATTTATAAACAACACGGTTTTAAGCACAACGACGCCCCCTCTTTGGGCGCGGATATTAAGTAAAAACAAAACGCACGATTTCAAGACATAAAAAAAAAAAAAATGTTTACTCACATTTCAGATTCAATCCAATTGTAAATGACCTTTTTTAGATCCAATATTTCCCAGTTACTTTGTCGGTTTTTGTCCCATCGACGAAAATACTGCCAAACGACACCACAGCAGGACCGTTGCACGGTGACGGCACGTCTCCAGCAACAGTTTGGCATTTTAAACCGATTGAATCGATTTAGTGAACCATTCACTGATTTACTTTTATCACTTATTACCATTTAATGTGCTATTCTAAGAGTCTGAATAGCTGAACCATTTTCGCCGTTCATCCACATTTATGCTGTTATTATTTATTTATTCAGTAATGTTTGATTGAACACTTTTTTTTTATTGAGGTACGTTTTGTAATGTTAAAGCAATAAAAAAAAATAATAAAAACTACGACAAAAATGTTCATTGTAGGCTTACAATGATAATTCATCAGAAGGATTTTGGAATTTATGGGTAAAATAAAGTTAATACTTGACTCACATTTTGTTCTACCAGGGTTACTATAGTTAACTGAAACTAAACACAAAATTCATTACTTGACTACCATTAACTGAAATTATACTATATAAACTTATTTTATTTCAGTTAGTTGCTAAAGCAAAATTATTCATTGAATTTAACTAAAGAAATATATATTATACAGACTTAAACACAATCACTAAATCTTTACAATTAAAATGGAAAATATAAAAATGCAAAATAATACTAAAATAACTGTTCTACAACATACACAGTAATACCTAAAACATGAATTTTTAACTATAACTTAAAGCCTAAACCGTTTTTTTTTTTTACAATTCATGCACGTAAACTCATATCCTTGTGTTAGTAGTAAGTCCTTATTAGCCATTTATCAACTTTCTCTTTGGGGTTTATTAGCAGAAGATCTCTGAAGTGCAAGCTCACCATCTAGTGGTAAAACACCAGTAACAGTTTAACAAATCTAACATTTCTCAGTGCTGAGCTGTAAAGCATGATTTAAAATTGTAGAATTTATTCAAACAATGAACGGAGCAAAAATAAACCGCAAGCAACTGCATGCATGGTTTTAAGATGTTTATTTAAAAAATAAAATAGAAAAAAAATTACATAAAAATATTGAAGGAAAACAAAAACAATTCCTCCGTCTGACCTCTTAGATGCTTTGCGGCCACATTGAGGGCTTTCAGTATAAGGATTGACAAGTTCAGGAGTGCTTTTGGCCACTGTGACATAACAGACGTCAGCAAAAAAAAAAAAGGTTACATTTAAAATCCATCATTGATATTCAATGAGGAGTGTCACACTGTATCAAGTAGTACATCACCTCAAAAGGTCAAACCATTACAGAGTGAAATACTTCCACCTTTCCAACACATCTACAGATTCACTCAGGAAAAACGGAGCCATTTTCATTTAGACAAATCACCAATAAAGTAGGTCCTTATTTGAAAGGAGGGGGAGAGTTGCCTCAATGTCTGACTCATTTTGCAAAAGATGCTGGTTCTATCTAAAAGCAGAAACTGCTATTAGAGTTACATTTGCCCTATTGCATTGATAGGCGGGTGAGTCAAGAGTTACAAGGACAATCCACAGTCTCTGTATCAGATATGACTTTGTAAAACACATCACACAAGTCAAAGTCATTCAATACAGACTGCAGGACATGGTTGTAGCGTTGTAACAGCAGTAAATGTAGTCCGGTTGATCTCTAGGAGGAAATATTTGCATTGCAAAAACTCCAGACAAGACGTCCAGGTGTTTTTCCACCATTAAAACAGTCTGAACTTGCATACAGGAACTGTTCACATGTGCGTCGATCTCAGGCCTTAGTCCGTTGACGGTCACTCCGATTTAGTTTCTTGACAAGATTTACAAGCAAATGGCCATCATGAGGGACACAGGAAGAGATTTTCAAAACTCCACTTGCATAGTAACAATAACCTGTATGCCTGTGACGTTCTGAGCAACAGCAATACAGTTTTAGTGTGCCATATACAAACAGAACACAAAAAATCAATTCAATACAGTACAGGAATAGGTTATTACCAAAAAGGCATATATTAGCGCAAGTACCTGGCAATAAATGCACGTCAAGATTCCAGAAAGGAATCAAAATAAATTCCCTTTCTCCGCTAGTCTGATTCGGGTGCCCATTCAAAAGTCGAACTAGGTCCGATTAGGGCACCTTGCATAAAGCTGCACTGATCTGGAGTCCTCTCGCACGTTCATTAGAGCTTCCCTAAAATAATTCACGTCTCACACTTACCTATAGCGACTTAAAAAGGACAGACACACATATAAATGAAAGCGCATTAGGACCAGGAGCTCAAGCTTTTTTTCCGATTCTCAATCTGATAAACCCAAGTCCTACAGCCTCAATGCCACACAACTACAACCTTAAAGACAAAACGAACGAGACAAATAAAAGCAACAGCTGAGATTCTGAAGCTCAATGTGGGAACACAGAAAGTGAGAAATGGCGACACCTGTTGGTAAAGAGTGGAAAGTCGTTCTGCGAGATCTAAACTGGCTGCTTTAACTTGCTCTTGTCCAGGTGCAATTTATGCCGAGAAAAAGGGGAAGAGGGAATATAAACTCTCAAAAAACTCTTTTAAAACAGACTTTTTTCCCTTAAGGAGCCTGTCTGACAGGATCTGTAAACGATGAACAAAATTAAAAACATTACAAAAATAAAAACATTTTTACAAAACAAACAAAAGGCTGGACACAAAAACAACCAAAAAAGAAATTAAATGTTTCCAGAGTGAAGGAAAATACAGAAATTAAGAAGTTATTGCACAAAAAAGTAAAGGTTGCGTGATGTATACAGTCAATACGGTGGGGGTCTCTGGAAGCATCTTGAGTGCAGAATTTGAAGCCAGCGTTACACACACACACACACACACACACACACACACAACCTTTGAAAAACACATCCTCACCCGATACAACAAACATTTGAAATCCACTGAATCTAGTTCGTCCCACAAGTGAAGGGTGTCACGTTTAGACCAAAAATGTGAAGCATGAAACACATAAAAAAAAGGAACGTTTCACCTGTCAACCTGGAAGTTGTGGAGTAGACGACCGAAAAAACAGTTCCTGTTCTCGAAGCTTCCTCAGGAAGATTGCACAGGTCAAAAAACAAACAAAAGTCTCAACATATACATGCACAGATTCAGTGGCAGACTGAACTACTTAGCACCACCATCACCACAACTACTGAACGAGGAGCTGGGTTTCAAACGCTGGTCTCTCTGTGCTCACACCATCAGTAGGAGGGCTAAATGAGTTCTCATCGTTTTAAGATGGGACCAGAGGGGTGAAAGAGGAAGCAAGTGGAGAGGGAGCGCCCATAGGGGAGCGCCGTCGTCTTTATCTGCTGACGCTAGCCGGCAGACTGTCCCTCTTCCTGCGGCGCCAGGTGTTGCGGTTGTACTGAATGTGGTTTCGGTTGGAAAGGACGGGACTGTGCACCACGGCGGGATTGTGGAAGCCCTTCAGAGGGAACTTGGGACCTGTCTGCTGGAGATAAGGCAAGATAGGGGAACTTAGAATCATGCTAGCATCTGAAAAAACGGCACAGCATATATAAAAACTGGATTTAAATACACATAATTTAAAATACAAATGCACTACCATTCTAAAGTTCTATCAAGACATTGATAATGTTACGAAATGTCCATTTCAAAATGCTTTTCTTTTGAACTTTCTATTTATCAAAGACAAAATGCATCTAAATATTAAGCAGCACAACGGTTTTCAACATTTATAGAATTGTTTCTTGAGCAGCAAATCAGCAGATTAAATGATTTCTGAAGGATCATGTGACACTGAAGACTGGAGTAATGGCTGCTGAAGACTAAATGACATTTCAATATATATATATATATATTATATATATATATATATATATATATATATATATATATATAAATCAAATATAAATCAATTATTTGAAATTATTTCAAAATGTTACTGTTTTTTACTGTATTTCTGATCAATTAAATGCAGCCTTGGTGAACATGATGGTGAACAACAATGTTTTTCATTCAATTTCATAATTTTACCCTATCCTGTCATTAAACTAGTCTGTGAAGTCTAGATGGAGGGAAAGTTGGGCTCACTGTCAAGATACAGCATATAGAGGAGAGCGCACATGGGACAGCCTACCTTTGGATGATGGTGGGGACTGGGTAGAGGGCTGGGGGGAGCTGGGGGGACTGCAGGGGGGGGCATGTGGAGGTATAGGGGTGGTCCATCTGCCATACACACCTGTCTGCCAGGTAGAGCGTGGAGAGAAAGATTGCCTGGGATTGGCACTCTCGCCTACAGAAAACGAGAGAGAGGGGGGAAGTTGGATTCAAGAACATGCCAGTGTCATCATCATCACAATTAGCTACCAAACCAAAATCGCCCCTCACCTGGGTGGCCGGAGGCATGGTGAGTGCTGCCGTGATGCTGGCTTTGCCCGTGCCCATCTGAAGCGCTGATGACAGGGGTCCCGGCGGCAGAATCTGGAGAGGGAAGGGGGCTACAGGTGGAGTGACATACGGTGTGGAGTCAGAGTCCTGGAGGAGCAGAAGTCAGTTATGTGAGAGGGAATGACAATCTAAGGCATATTAGCCCTGTAAAGTCTGACATATGAAATAATCTTATTTTTTTTTTTTATGTAACAATTTGTTGAACCTTTAGACAAAAAAAGTCTATATTTTTGTTGAGTATCATATGATGGATTAGGCTTTTATGGTTCATACAACATAATATAATAAGAATATGAAGCTCAGTTTACTCAGCACACCTCAATTTTATTCAGAGGCCCAAACGGAGCAAAAATATGCAATTTGGTGCAGTCGCTGATATTTATATGGCCAAAGTGTAAGATGAAATCTTTTCTAGCTTTTAATGATGATAGCTTGTAATGTAAATCAATGAGGTCTTACATGAGACCTTATAACAGTATAGCAGACTACTTATAGTTAAAAATGATATTTATATGCATTTTATGCATCTTCCAATAATAGCTCGTAATAAATCTAAGCATTTAAATATCATCTTACTATCAAAACTCTGTTGTTTCTATTGTGGGGAGTCAAAATATCCAATCCATTTGAATACAATTGAGAGATTTACAAATAAATGTTCCTCAACAGCCTGATGTATCATATTTGACTAGAGCTGCACGGTTAATTGTTAAAAGATCACATTTTCGATTCCGACACCTACGCAATCTAATTCCTAAATGACAATGAATCAGCTAGGTTTATTAAACCTGAGATCAGAGCGGAACACTCAAATCTGCGTTCGCACTGCCGCTGAGCCAGAGAGAGCAGTTGTCACGTAGGCTAGGTATGAAACATCTTCACAAACAGTCTGTTCAACCACACATCATCATTACTTCTGTGTTACAATAATTCAAATTATCACAGAAGTACTAGGATAAAAATCATAGACACTAACGTCTACGGTTGCGATCAAAATAGAGTACACCGCTTTTTAAAAGTAACAATGCTTCATAAAAAGATTGTATCTATTATATTGTTACACCAGTAGGTGGCGACAAGTGACTTAATCTTAATTTTTCATTGAATCATTCAAGAGATTCGTTCAAAAAGGCTGATTCATCCAGTAATGAAACAAGTGAAGTCTTCGAGCAAGTCATTCATTCTAATTTTTTTTTTTTTATAATTCAAATAAAATATATTTAAAAATAAAATGCAGGAATTAACATTTTGTCAGAACCTCTAGTAAATTACATGTTTGTGTTTAGTCAACTATTCAGAATCCTAAAAAAAAAAAAAAAAAAAAAAAAAAACATGATTCTCAATTTAACAAGAATTGTGCGGCCCTATATGTAACGCTCACATTTCAGTATTATTATATAAAAATAAAAAAAACATAAAAAGTAAATTAAGTAAAACTAAGTGGTTTCAGTCCAGTAAGTGTTCATCTTGGAATATAACTATAATATAAATGTTATTCTTATATTTACTTGTAAAAATATCCACCTCAAGGTTATTGTACACGTCTTTTCTTCTGTGAAAGCATTACTGATTTTTATAATTATACTAAAGTCCTTTTAGTTGCTAAAAGGTTTAACCTATCAATCAGATGACAGAAGGGATGTAGTCGATTATGTATAACAGGTTTAAGTTATAATCATTTAAAGGATAATTTGCCATAAATACGATACACTAGAGCAGGCTTTATAGGGTTAAAGTACAGACACAGATGAAGGATGATGCTTACGATATCGCTGCCTGACAGCGAGGACGCAGAAGAGGCAGAGGAGTGCTGTTGAGGGCTGGACAGGGACATGGGAGAGTCTGCGCTGTGAGGGGACACAGAGTCCCTCTGCTGCTGGTCCTCCACACCTACACCCAGCAGTGTGACCGTCTCCACCTGATCCACTGAGTCTTTATGAGATGGACCTACATGCAAAAGCCATCAAAACATCAGCCAAATCAAAGCAGGTTTCATTTGAAACATGGCTGAATTGAAATAAGCAGATTCACTGAAGAGCAACTATGCGTCTGTCAAACCAGACTGAGGACTTTGACAGCCACATTTCAAAAGGTCACATTCTCCATTACCAAATTGATCTATCAAGCTTTAGTTTAATAGAACATATTATACCACGGGCTGTTTAAATACTCGATTCTGATTGGCTGGAAAGTGTGCAGTAAAACCGTTTAATGCACAGGTAGTTCCAGTCAGTTTGATTACAGTTCGAAATTAATCCGCTACTATAAACATTGGTAACCATAGTAACAGAGTTACACTTGCAAAAGAGTGAGAGAGAGAGACACATATGAAAACGTTAGGTAGGCTCAGAGCCATAGAGAGAAAGAGTTGCAACGCTCTTTGATCGCTCGCGATGGCTGTCACGTGGTTCATGTAAGCCCCAATAGTTCCAAAACGCGGGCTGTCATGTTCTTCTATGGGACAGACAGCAGCGATTGCATTATTGACCGGTAAATATAAAATAAAACACACACCCAAGTACTTTTTCAGCTGTTACTGCATTATTGCATTTTGTTAATGTCAGTTATGCATTTGGAGAGGCAGGGTGACAACGAAATAGCCTACTACTGTATAGTACTTAGATACGTTTTAGGCTTTTTTTTTTTTTTTTTGAGGGAAAAGACAGAGCTTGATAAGATCGAAGACGACAAAGATGAGGTCAATACGAAAAAGACAACTAAATGGGCAGTTAACACTTTCAGTGACTTGTTGCGCCAAAGACAGAACAATTGTGATTTCGAGACCTAACGTTACTCTGCTTCTCTTTTAAATGAGACATTGCGGGAGTTTTATGCCTCTGTTCAGTCTACCGCTGGACGCGAATACAGTGTTGCAAGTTTGATGCGTCTCAGAGCAGGTATAAACCGTCACATTACAAAATACAACATCATAAGGGATAAAGACTTCAAGTCAAGCAATGCCGTCTTTAAATCAGTTTTAAAGCACTACAGGAAAAAATGGAAAAGACACCAGCGTTCATCATCCGCGTAAGAAAAGTTTGGTTTGACATACAGCTAATTCATTTAAATAAATGACATGATTAGTTCAAATAAAGCTTGCCTTGTCACTGTCAGTGTTGCCTATCATTCATAAATAATTTTAATAAATACATGAATCATTAAGTTAGCTATAGCCCTATGCTTAAGCAACGAGGGGACTGTAGACTTTAAAGAAGAGACGCTCATAGGTAACTCACGCACGCTTATATACGCTTCGCGTCGGGTGGTTCTTCGCCTCTACGTCGTGCATTAAAATCCTTTAATGCATGGCTAGCCGTGGATTATCCCTTACTTAATCAGTCAAAGTCATGAATAAGATGTGTGAAAGGGATACAATGCTAGTGAGGACACTTTCTCACTTCTAGGGCACCTACAAAGCTACGGTTCGTCAGAAAATGTTTCAAATCCATTTATATTAATGCATTGCAAGGACAGACGACAAAATGAAAGGGTTTGCCAAAGTGACACTCCTTCACTGCAATCAGAAGTGCTGCAATGCACTCAAACATAGGCATTCATTGACCAATGAAATGTTATTCTTTTATTGGTAAAAATAGCAGGTTTCATTTATTTGAATTACTTTTGATAGATTCGACCAACATCTAGGACAGCGGCTTCCACTAGGGGGCCTCAAAACGACTCGATTTAAAATACAGCAAAACAAGCGTTAAAATAATCCAAAATACAGTAGATATTTCATGTTTTATTTCACACCCTTTTTTCTTGGCTCTGAAGAACCAGGATTCCCACGGTCTAAAAAACCTGGGCAACTTGCTTTCTAGACCTGGAAATGTCATGTAAATGATTAAAACGCCTTAGCCACTTTCATAAGGACTAAATGTTTTTCTAGTCATGCGAAGCTACATAATATTTTAAGTAGAAATTGAGTAAAACGATTTTCGAAAAACCTTATCCAGTACATCACAAACATCTGAAGAAATATTCTAAATTAATTGATTAAAAAGAGTGGGATCCCTGAAGAACATTCAGCTCTTAAAACGTGTGGCTTCTAAAACTTTGAAAGTTTAAACTGTAATTATAATTACTTTAGTTATTTTAATCTATGGTCATTGCTAGTTTCTACAAATAATTTAAAAAAAAAATGTTTTAAACGCAGCAGAAGGACAAGTGGAACACCTTTTTGTATTTACATTCTGGGACTGCCTTTTCTTAAGGATCAATGCTATGCGGCCCTGCATGGAGTTTGGGGCCTTGCAATATCTTAAAAGGCATCATTACAATGCTGTAAAACATTAGGAACACACTCCACCCCAGGACATAAGTGACTATCTAAAATGCCTTACCAATGAGAACTTATTGCACCGGGAGACATTATGAAGTACAATCAAAAACAAACAGATCAAATTCACCTTAGTATCTGCAGTCAATAGATGTAATCTGAGAAATTCTTCACATTGAGACGTACCTGGATTCCTCTCCAAGCGGGAGTTGTGTCTGCCACCCCACTTCTTTATGATCCACTCCCTGTAGTCAATGACTTCCTGGGTGACTTTAATAATGCGGCCCAAAGTGCTGAGGGGACAATATAAATGACTAATTAAATAAAACTGAAAGTTTGAAATAATTAGGGTGAGCATGTTTTTATGTCCATGAGAGCTGTACCTGTCACTGTCTTTGTTGGGGTAAGAACGTGCAAGAGGTGAGACGGCGTGACCCAGTATTATATACGCATAGTCAAAAGCCTCCTTTACCTGCATGGCACCATAAGAGCTTCTGCCCACATCATTACCTGAGCAGTCACACAAAGAAAAGGAAAATAAGTACATATATTAGTATGTATTATATGTATACTTAACCAAACAACTTGCAAGTAAATTACTTTTTCACACGTTTAAAAGAAAATCAGTAATGCCTAAATGCAAATAATGAGATAGAACATCTCATTTTCTCAAGCAATTCCTAAAGTGTCACATCACATTTTCTCAAGCAATTCCTAAAGTGTCACATCAATGACAACATTGCATCTGAAGCATGCTAATGATTCCTTAAAGTCTGTCCCAAAATATAGGCAGCTGCTTTTTAAGAGATACTGTGTTTTGGCCAAATTTAGATTCCAGGAAAAGGCGATACAACAAATGTATAGTGGAAAGCATGGTGACTAAGTAAAATCCAAAACAATAAAAGTTGAGAGAACAAAATATACACAAATATTAAGTGATAGAATTTAATTAGTTTGAAATATCTTTGTGCTAATATTTTTATTATGGGAGAGTAAATATTTAAGTAGACAGTGAATCGATTCGATTTACAATTTATAGATTTTTGATTCAGTTCAGGAATGATTTTCCAAATGCAGAATATTCGATTCACAATGACATTTGATTCAATTAAATTTCAATTAACGATTGATTCTGTATTGAAGTGTATTCATAGGAATGTATTAATGCTTAGAATTTCTTGATTCTCAAGAACCGATACTGATTCTTAAATCCCAAGAATCGATCTTTTAGTCTGCTATAAATCTCCTATATCCTAAGACCCAGGGACGTGCACAGGGGGGTTGCTCAGGTTGCCCGGGCAACTGCCCATATGCCCTTCTCGACTCAGGTTGCCCTTCCGAGGGAAAAAAAAATAAAAAATCGTACAATGGATGCAGAATTTCACGTAGGCCTAAAAAAAAAAAAAAAAAAAAAAAAAAAAAAAAAAAAAAATCGCAAAGCCTCATTCACTTCCATTCGGGCACTCAGCTCAACTGTTTACGTGGCTGCAGCGCTGCACGCGACCGCTGCGTAAGACCCCGCAAATTACTTAAGGCCCCGCCTCCATCTCGTGTCATAGCGCGTCAATTAATGTGTACAACATCCATGACAAAATGAAGCGAAACTATCCTTTTGGTCACGAAAAGAGAAAGAAGAAAAAACCATGAGAGTGAATTGCGGGAACAACAATCAGGTAAACTTGTGTTCTCTCCTCTCTAAGTTTGATGTCAGCATAGTTTGATGTTTTTCGGTCTTGCTAACCTAGCTGGGCAGACAGTGCATCTCTTGCATCACTTTGTGCCTGACAAAAGTGAGAGTAAAATACAATTTTTTTACGTTTGTTTTTGATAAACGACAAAGTGCAACGGTGTTTGTTTACTGCAGCTCAGAAAACATAACCGCGTCACGTGTGTTATCGTGCGTTCATGCGCGTGCACGAAATGAAACTCGCATTTTTCAAGCAGAAATATGTGGAGACCAGACATACTGTACAATACATGCACGTGAATGATGGCACTCCCAATCAAAGTACACATTATAAAACAAGACACTGATTATGTAGTCTCAGTGTAGTTAAAAACTCTAAACAACTGCACTAATTATGCAAGATAGAAAGCAATGTATTGACAATTTGACATTGATTGACTATTGATTTATAGGCTATATTGAATTTAAAATGTTGATTAGCTGGACATAATTATTAATGTCCATAATTAAAACCATAATTAATCCGAAAAAAGCCAAAGCTCAGGGTTATAATTTATTATTTTCTTCTTATTTATGTTTACGTTAATATTCACTTGTTATGTTAACATTCTATAGAAAATACTCTATTCAATAAATATTGTTTGTTTGAACCTCATTCTGTTCTATATTGTTGTAGCTACTTATTCTTTGACTGTTTTGTTTAAAGGAGGGAGGATTGTATTGGGAGAACCGAAGTGTCAGTTGTGAATGTGTGGCAATGGCAAATGGTTTACATAACTCACGAACTGAATACGAGCAAGAAGCACAACTGAATGTACGGGAAGCCAAAAGGTTAAAAAAGGATTGTATTTTTTCCCAAAATCTAAGCGTTTTTTTTTTTTTTTTATACAAGCAAGTTTTTCCATTCAATCCAGATTATTTCTTTTCAAATAAAATTAATAAATAAAAATAATTAAATAAACTAATATGAGGAACTCTTTTTCTCATGTATCTCATCTATGGGGGGGCAGAGCAACTGCCCCTCAAAATTCCTGTGCACGTCCCTGCTAAGACCCCTTAAGCATAAATATTACGGGCAAGCAGAAATCATTTAAAGTGTTACCTTAGCAACATGCTAAGACCAAACTCTATTGAAATAAATTGCGGGATCAGTCTCGGTGTGCTTCATGTGAGGAATTAGCTAAACTGGTCACTTATAAGGTTTCAATTCAGAAAGGACGCTGCCTCAGAAGGTAGAAGACAGTAAGAAGCTCACTAAGTTTTGCATAAATGGAGCAATTTTTGAATAAATAGCTTGTAAATTGTACCTGGAAGAAGAGGGTCCTCAATACACAGCATGGAGGGCCTGTAGCCATTACTCATGGCCTTCATGATGTCCTCTTTAGCCATGTAAGCACCACCGTTCTTTATCCTGATGCCGGTCTTCAGGTAGTTGAAGTGTCTTCCATACAGCTCAAAAAACTCAATGAGCAGAATGCCAAGGTTCATGTTGGGATTCCTGGCATCAATTCTTGGGTGTAACTGCAAGTGTAAACCAAAAATCAGCAGGCAAGTCGAGACGTTCTCTTTATTTGCTTGGCACAGTCATTTATGAAATCAGCGTGGCTGATGCAGTCAAACAAAGGTAGGAAAATATGCTTGACAATGACGGATCTCCAAATAAGAGAACAAGAACAAGTTATTTCTGATGTGAAACACTATGGTTCTTCTCTTCGCCTAAATGTCGAAACAGTTTACATGCTTGAGAACTAAACTGGCTGCTAATGTTGCACCTGTAAGAAGCTGATGACCATCAGTATGAGACTGTAGGAGCTGATTCCTCCTGTGAAGACTTCATTGAGGTCTCGCTGTAGCAGGAACTGTTTCAGCACGAAGATTAAATAAGGCAGCACGGTATACTTCTGTGTGGGAGGGAAAACAAGATGTTTAAGACTTTAAAACACAAAAAAAGACCGTTTACACCAGGCATTAAGAAGCAACTCAAAGGCGACTCCGTGACCACTTGAGATGAGATTTCATCAAAGATTTCACCATTCTGGTCTTTTTACGAAAACAGTGTCATTACATGTTGACCTCAGGAATATCGACATGTTTCTGTGAAGTCTTGCACATTTATGTGGTTTCAATAGACTAAAACATGGGAAATGCATATGCAGCTGTCTTTCACCGGAGATAACATCCAGCTGTTCAGAAGCAGCAGAAATATTTACATGAGGTAATGTGTTATGATAACTGGAGACAGGCCAATAAATATCACATTCCTCCATGTAAGATCGACATCGTCTTAAAGACTATGGGGTCTCATTCCCTAATAATGCAATGCATACAACTGAGAGTATTCGTATTATTCCTCCCCAGTGGGAGTGTATGGCACCCTTATGAACCATGGATAGGAAAATGATGAAATTTGGCATATTTATTGGGGTGGTTTTGAATAAAACCCTGACCAACTTTGGGGTCTCTCGGACCAAATTTATATATACACCACCAGTTCAAATATTCACTTTTCTTTTGTCCTATAAACTAAATTCTTATTACACCCGATTAATCTCCTCATGCTGATCACATTCAACATCTTACATTAAGACCCATTACAGTAATCGTCATTTTAAAATGTATTGCATTCTGTTTTTTCACTTCTCCTTTGGCTCAGATGATCACTGGACCGAGCCACACATAAATGACTGAAGAAAATTAATATTCCTTTTAGTTCAAAAGTTATGATAGGAAGTTAACCCAAATTTTGATTAAATGTTATATCCTATCAATACTTTCTGTAGATCTATCAAAGAGAAACTTGGTACACTTCATCAGCACCACAATTTGTGGGTGGTGCTGTTCCAAAATATTTAGCCAGGATCGGATGAACCACCTGTCTGCCATTTTGAATTTTTTTTTATGATATTTTTTTTTTAACGCTTTGGCATATTGGCCCAAAATTTGCAACACCTCATGGACAGCATGTCCTTAAAGTGTCTAAAAAAACATAGACAGCGCTACCTAGTTTGGCTTTTTACAACAAATCTTATAACTTGGAAAAAAAAATGAATTCTCTCAATGTCTTCCTTGATTTATGCCAATTTCAACATCTTATTTGTCATTTTCCAACATTTTGCTCACCTGCCATGAGGAAGTATATGAAAAACAGTTTTTTACCACTCCTAGAAATTATAACAGGCCTACGTGGAATACAGATACAAAACACATGCTATGATGCACATAGCAGTCCTTCTGAAAGCTGCTTGTGTTGTTTGATGTGCTTGCTGTATTTGTTGTCCCTGCAGTGCCTTTGGTGTTTGGCCCAGAATTGCTGCTTGTAGCTATATTCACCTTATGTTTTTGTTCAATTTATGAAGGTGCCGTAAAATTGAATCACCATATATTTTATTGCAACTGTACAATACTATCATATATTCTATGGTAAGAAAACAAAATCTCCTCTTGTGGTTGCACAGATGAGAGCTATGAAGGTCATCTCCTTATTGAAAATTCTCCCTTGAAAGCTTGCTGACAGATGTTAAAGTTATGCTCCCCCCCCCCTCCTCCTCCTTCCTTTAGTCAAACAATGACATTATAAGACTGACACGAGATCAGAAAACAAGGAGTAAATCTAGGACACCTAGAACATGTAAATACAAGCAGGATCCAAAAAAAAAGAAAAGTTACGTCTTGCCATTAGCAGGTGTGGCAAATAGAGCTGTCACGATATCTACTTTTTGTTGTGCGATATATTGCACCAAAATTAATTGCGATAAACGATATTATTGTAATTTTCAGACCATTTTATGCCACTGATTACATAATGACAATATAATAGCATAATAATGCAAATACACTGTTTCAAAGAACATTTTATTCTTAATCTATTCAATATTTAGACATTGTGAAATGTGAAAAAATATATCCCAAATAAATAAAACAAGTAAATAAATACACTTTCGTTAACAAAAAAGTGCAAGGTATAAAGAACTAGATCAAAACAAAGTAATATGTCAATTTAAACTTTTAAAGTGTCTCACACAAAGGCACAGATGCATCAACAGGACATTTCTGCTGTCAGATTCGTTTTTTAATTGTTAGGCAGATTCCGAGAAAGGAACACCAACATGTTTACCTTGTGGGGCTTAAAGGAGAACTCCGGTCAATTTTAACATTGAGCTCATTTTTTTGGTAAATTTGGAGTGCTGTCAGTACAGAGAACAACGACAAAAATCGGTGTTTCCTACACCGTGTTATCCTCTTTTTAAAATGTGCACACTGTTGACTTAAACGGGGCTAGTTTTAAACCTGTTAACATCCTTGATGTGTCATTTTAAGTGAACAGCCATGTGAGTGATGTTATTCATAGTGAACACGGTGAAAGATATGAATAAAGATGTGAAAGATATGAATAAAAATGATGTTTATTCAGCCAGCTCACATACCCGTATTTACTTCCTGTTTTCGGTCGAAGTCCACAGTAGTCGATTGTCGAGTTCGCGCGCGCGATCATTGGTAACTAAGATAACTAATGATCGCGCCCGCGAACTCGACAATTGACTACTGTGGACTTCGACCGAAAAAAGGAAGTAAATACAGGTATGTGAGCTGGCTGAATAAACATCATTTTTATTCATATCTTTCACATCTAACGTTACTGCAGTCAGATTCACCGTGTTCACTCTGAATAAAATCACTCACATGGCTCAATTCCATGTTGGACTCGTTATTCCTAACTGGCTCGCTGTAGATGTCGCAGAACACTTTAAAATGCAGTTGGTTCACGCCTTCTCTTTACCTGACGGTGTCTCTCTCTCTGTGTGTGTGTGTGGGGACACGCTGCCTGAGCCCCGCCTCCGACACAGAGTGCAGACAAGATGACAGAGGGAGCGCGATCAACTAAAATGTTGGTGACATTCATTGTAATGTAAAAATAAATCTAATTATTATTTTTAATAATAAAACAAATTATCAGTTGCAATATATCGCGGCACCAAAAATGATCGCGCTCATTTCCATATATCGTGCGATAAGTCGATATATTGACTATCGCGACAGCTCTAGTGGCAAATGAACTGAAAAACTTTCAGGCCATGAAGTATTTTACAGATCACATAAATCTGTTTCCCCCCTCCTCCTGAATATTTCAGACAAACAGCACGTCATAACCAGCATCACACACACTCAGTAGTTAGTTGGAAAACACCACTTTTCACAACATCAAGACCACCGTGATTTTTTTCATGCTTTTCTATTACCAGTTAAACACAATTCACAAAAATAAAACAAATTAATTTTGACTAACCAAACTTTGGCATTTTTGTACTACCACAAAAGTTGTAAGAGACATAACGCATTATAGTCCTTAACGTCTCTATTGCAATCTCAAAATTCTGGCCATTTGATAATACCTAGAATATCAAAATCAACTGCAGGCAGTAGATCCTTTCCCTATTTAAAGGTGCAATGTGTAAAAATGTTGAGTATCTATTAACAGAAATGCAATATGACATCCATAACTATGTTTTCAGTGGTGTATAAAGAACTTACTTATTCTAAGGTAATAAAAACATTACGGTTTATTGAGACATTTATATCCCCATAACCGCGGGCACCCCCTTCTATGAAGGTCGACATATTGTGACGTCATGTTTCTACCGTAGCCGACAGCGCTACAGAGCGCGTTTCGTCACTGCCGTTGAAAGAGAAGCAGCAGAAAGCTAGAAGCTAGCCATAAACACCGTGAGTAGTGACTTTTCCCTTGTCAGTGGTGTAAAATATGTAGTTGGATTGTTTCATGTAACTTAGTTCTTCTCCCTCGCTGTGTTATGGCTTTGCTATGTGGGGATAAATGTGCTGGTTATATATTAAGATACTTGATCCTCACCTGACTATGGCTTTGTAAACTTTATCCATGATGTGGTTTATAATGGACTGTGGTACAGAAACTTGGCTTACTCTGGCTTTTATCTGCTGTCTCAGACGACGATATGTTTGTCCCGTTTTAGCCACCGTAGCTTCTTCGAAAGGGAGGGGTGAGAAGTGGGCTGAGCCCTTAGTGCAACTCGCAACCGAACCGCTAGATGTCGCTAAAAAATAGACACTGCACCTTTAACACCCAAACTCTGGAATAGTCTTTCTAGCCTCGTTTAGGAAGCAGACTAAAAACACATCTCTTTAACCTGGCATACGCATAAGACATTATCAATTTCTATTATTCAAATCAGTTAAATGATTTGTTAGGCTGCATAAATTTGGTCAACCGGAACCAGGAACACTTCCTATAACACCCAATGTACTTGTTACATTGTAAGAAGAATAGCATCTATGCTAATGTTAGTCTGTCTGTCTCATCCTTATCACGAGGTTACCGTAGTCAGCCGGATCCGGTCCAGATCAGATGGTGGATCTGCACCTAGACACGACCAAAACGCAGCCCTGATTGTCAGCAGAGACCGTGTCTACTAGACAATCCCCTGTGAAGGCCTCGTTGACACGACAGCCATCGGCACAGATCCTCAGCAAAGAACCAGACAGGTCCTCCGCACAGACCCTATGGCCAGCTTCGGCTCCATACCGGCATGATGAATCTGATCTTCAAGCAAAAGGAACTGGATGAATATTTGAATGCTACCGATCTAAATTCTGACATGTGATGCAGCCTGAATCATAATGACACCGTGTTCGTTCGTTGGCCAGAGGAGAACTAGCCCGCCGTCTGAGCCTGGTTTCTCCCAAGTTTTTTTTTTCTCCATTCTGTCACCTGATGGAGTTTTGGTTCCTTGCCACTGTCGCCTCTGGCTTGCTTAGTTGGGAATACTTCATAATATTCAACAATATTACTGATCTGACTCACTCCTGGGACTATACATAGATTTACAAAATGAGCTAAACATTACCTTCACATATTCTTTGATGAAGCTAGCAGCTTTGATGCCCGTCTCCACATTGAAACTGATGTCCACTTTCACCTCAGTCTCCTGATCTGTTAGTTTGATGATTGGTACCTTCAAAATTCAAAGATATACATATAAAATAATTAATTGCCAAGAAACCCACAAATATGTTACAAAAAAGCAACAACCTCTTCATATGAAACAAATGTTTAATCGCAAATGTTTAATCGACAGTAGAGGGAAAAATACATACCGTAGCTTTGTCGAGAACTTTGATGGAATAGGGTTCGGCCACACTGTGTTTTCTGAGGGCCTGCTCCAACTGCTGCAGGGGAGGTTTCTCCCATTTCCCAAACACCACCAGGTCAATGTCACTACAGTATAAAGAACCAGACAGAATCTTTCATATAGCTCTACATATGAATACCTTGCAATTTTCTGTTTAGGCAATGTGTTAAAATCAAAATGTCTCAATAAGCCCAGGCCTAGATCTCCACATGAAAACAAAACCAAGTGTTCTTGCTGTCAAATAAACTCATTCATTGTTTTCTCAATAGTGTTCAACCAAAAACATGAGGCCTAATGACTTAACACAAGGAACATCTTTCAGGTTTCAGAGACATACAAACCAAAACCAATTTTGGGACTGAAGAAGTTTTTAGAAAGCTAAACACACAAGTTCACATTTACCCCTGGTTTCACAGACAATGCTTAAGCCTAGACCCAGACTAAAATGCATGTTTGAGCTGTTTTAACTGAAAGCAACTTGCACTGACAAATCTTAAAAGTCACTGCCATTGTTTTGTCTCAAGATGTACACAAGTAATGTTATTTTTATAAGGAACGTGAAGGAAAAAAAAAAGCTACAAAATGTCCTAATTGAACTAAGGCCTAATCCTGGCTTAATCTAAACCCTGTCTGTGAAACTAGGCCATAGAGTTAGCAAATTGCAATTGATCATAAAATGTTTGCTCAGTTCCTGAAAGAAAGCTCAGAGCCAAAAAAAGGCAAGCACGCTATGATTGTGATGTATTTGGTCACATCCCATCCTTCTGTGAGAGTCATCTTACTGAGAATAGTGTTATGACCGTACAGCAACAACAGATCACAAAACGGCTTAGGGTTCTGTTTAAAATATCACTGTTGTGTTAATGTGCAAGATCAAACACACTGTTGCACATGTTCATTTACCTGGTTGGGAGAAAGAGTCCAGTGCTAAAGCTGCCAAAAACCTGGACCTAAGTACATAAAAGTAAAAACAATTACATTTGTATATATTTGGACTAATAATGTATAATGCCAATAGCATATATATATACATATATGTGTATGTATATATATACACACACATCAACTCTAAGCTTGCTTACATCAGCGGTAGGCCACAACTCCTTGATGACCGACTCTATCCTGTCCACCACCTCCTGTCTCATGGTGGCCTCCTCAGGACGAGGAGACATAAAATTGTAAAAGTCCATGATTTCTTCATGCAACCTTGGAAAAATGAAGGAAGGAAATTATGGAAATGAAGTTGGTACAATTTAAGAAGCCATTCATGCAGATCTAGGCCTATCACATAAACAACTCATGAAGCAAGAATCTTGAGGTTTGTTTTTATAGATTAAATGTAAATCAATTAACAACCTGTAAAATAAGTATACTTGGGCCACACAGGACTAAGAATTTGATTGGTTAAATGTGTACCAATAGGGGTTTAAGCATTTTTAGCAAACTCACATTCAGATCTGGCTCCATTTTGGTATGGAAACAGCCATGTTTCATAATCCAATCAATTCCCGATGGATAAAATCAAAAGCCAGAAGTATTTAATGTTTGCAACATGGAAAAGATCCCCCAGTACAATACAATAGAGTAATTCATGTGTAAAAACCCATTATGTAGTTAACCCTAATCAATTAAAACCTTAACCAAACAGAAAAAATGAGCAAAAGCAACATTTAGTGCAGTGGTTAATTAAAATGGGTTATATAATTACTTGATTCATGAACCTTTACATTTGGTGCCCCTCAATGTAGAACATCTGGTGAGCTTTGATGAGCTGACTAGATTTCTATTAGGTTTGGGTTTTTTTTATAAACATTTTTTTTTTCATTCTCTCTCAAAAAATAAAAAATAAAATCAGTCATAGTCAACACTTGTAGTCTGTCCTGAACCAATGTCTCTGAATTTAAACTAAGCTACGTTACAGGCTAACTTACACTTAGAAACAAAAAAATTGGGAGTAAACAAAAACTCAAATCAAACAAAGACTGCTACGAATTTTAAAACGCAGCCTATACCTTAACAGCCTTTTGCACCTATACACATAATGCTGTCTAGGACTATAGGCCACTCACAAGGTTGAGAGACACAGTCCCGGCCTCATTTGGTTCAAGAATCTTTTGTGGAAAAATTCCAGAGGTCTCCATCAACCATCCACCACAAATATAACAAGTTCATGCAACAGATTCATCCCTGCCTATGCAAGCCTACTAAAGACTTAAACATACATTGTATTAAGTACCCAGTGCAATAATCATAAATCAGCATACACTAAAATCCTGAATCCAGCCAGCCAACAGCAATGGACGGATGACAACAAATGTAACAAAAAAGTTAAAAGTAGAGCTGCAGCACGATTCTGAATAAATTGAGAATCACAATTCTGAAAAGACAACTGAACAAAATAGCATAACTTAAGAGGTTCTGAACGTCTGACAAAATATTAACTGGTGCAGTCTATTTAAAATGGTTAATTTATTTGAGTGAATTACTCAATTTGTTTTAATGACTCATAAAGACTTCACTCGTTTCATTACCATGAATCAGCGTTTTTGAACAAATCTCTTGAATAAATGATATTTAAGTCACTTGTCGCCACCTAGTGGCGTAACCATGTAATCAATACAATCGTTATTAAAGCCAAGTTATTCAAAATGTGATTTGCCCCTATTTTGATCGCTACTGTTGACATCAGTGTTTATATCGAAGTCGAACTATAAACTTTGGTAGCAATTTATTTTACGGTCCTATTCCTTGTATACACGTATACTATGTACTTAAAGCAATTATAATAACTGGGTTATAACTAGGTACTAACCTTAAACCTATCTGTAAAACTAACGTTAACTCATGTAGTTACATTATAATACCAGTACTTTCGTAGCTACACGTACTGTAAAATAAAGTGTAACCTAAACTTTTATCCAGGTAATTCTGTGATAATGTGAATTAGGGCTGGACAATATGGCAAAATAAATACGGTAATTATCGATATCAACTAATATGAAGAAATGTACTTATCACGATAAATGTCAAATCTTTGTCTTTCAAATTTAAAGGCCGATTTTTGCTCCAGAGTGAAAGTTAAACTACTATATATAATGTTGAATATAATGTATAATAATGGAATGGGGGAATATTTGTGGGTCCTGATAATACCAAATGTCTTATGTTACCGACCAGTAAAAAGTGTCCAACATTATTTTAAATATATCTAGTCAGTGAAAAAGTGCAAGAATATTCGTCTAAAATTATTCTGTATTTTCAGCTTCAGAATCATTCATGAATATTTTTATTCTGGTGTCACCATTGTCCTTGGGTTAAAAGCACAGAGTCCAAACCTATTCATTTAAACCCACAATATAATATCAAAGTTAGCATTTTAATCAACAGTACATTTTTTGTTAACCTTTTATCTTATGTCTTGGAGTATCACTATAATATCGTATCGTGAGTTCAGTATCGTGATATGTATCAAATCGTGACATGAGGGTATCGTTATACCCCTAATACTTTGTACAAAATATGCAAATGAACACAGAATTAAATACAACACAAGGTTTCTCGTTAAGAGGTTTTTTCCATCGAAAACCATTATAAAGAAAATGCTCATATTCTGGGCTCATTTGCTCGCCTGTATATAGTATGCATCATCAAAAAGGTGTAAACTGAATTTGATCTTTTAATATCACTGTATTGGTACAGTACCGCACTTTAAAGGATTAGTTCACTTCAGAATAGAAATTTCCTGATAATCTTTCTTTAGTTGAAAAGAAATTAAGTTTTTTTTAGAAAAACATTCTAGGATTTCTCTCCATATAGTGGACTTCAATGGGGTAGAACGGTTTGAAGGTCCAAATTGCAGATTCAAAGCAGCTTCAAAAGGCTCTTTCAACGTGATTACGTAATGCGTGGCGCATCGCAGAGCTAGTGCAAGACGAACATTTGTGGTTAAAAACTAATATATTTTTTTTTAAATTTTTTTTTAGAAAATGACCAATCGTTTCGCTAAATAAGACCCTTATTCCTCGGCTGGGATCATGTCGAGCCCTTTGAAGCTGCTTTGAAACTGCAATTTGGACCTTCAAACCATTGGTTCCCGTTGAAGTCCACTATATGGAGAAAAATCCTGGAATGTTTTCCTCAAAAACCTTAATTTCTTTTTGACTGAAGAATGAATGACATGAACATCTTGGATGACGTGGGAGTGAGTAAATTTATCAGGAAATTTTCATTCTGAAGTGAACTAAATCCTTTAATCCTCCAGGGCTCCGCGACAGTCACGTGACTGAAAACTATGGATTGTGGTTTTATCATCAGAACATGACAAACACAACGCAATTAAATATTACATGTTTTGTCTCTTAGAACTGCACATTTGACAGTAGCTGGAGTTGGGGATGCAGCTGTAAACGTGTTCATTGAAAAAAACAATATCATCTGTAAAAATTAACGATATATATATAAAATTTACACACATATACATATAGGCCTATATATTAGGGGTGTAACAATATATCCTGCCACAATATATCGCAACACAAAAATGCATTTCTGTGTGAGAAAAAAATTCAAGTTTACAGAGTTTTAGTGTCAGTATTACATTAAAGGTGCTCTAAGCGATGTCATGTGTTTTTTAGGCCAAAACATTTTTTGTCACATACAGCAAACATCTCCTCACTATCCGCTGGCTGCCTGTCCCCTGAACACACTGTAAAGAAACGCGATCTCTGTAGACAGCCCATGCTTCACAAACAGCACCAAAAACAAACTGCAGCGACCGGCTCCCCAAAACATAACAAACTGTTCCAGCCAATGACCGACAAGAAGGGTTTGGGGGTGTGGTTTGGGGGGTTAGTGTGCGGATGAGGAGGAGGGAGGGTCTAGCTAGCCTCCGTTTTGTTTGACAATAGTTCGAACGTCAACAAGAAGTGACGTCACCCAGGATCGCTTAGAGAACCTTTAAACTACTATATATAATATTGAATATAATGTATAATGATGGGGGAATATGTCCTGCTGATAATGCAAAATATCTTATGTTACCAGTAAGCCATTATATTAAATGTATCTAGCCAGTGACAAAGTGCAAGTATATTCATCTAAAATAATTCTGTATTTTCAGCTTCAGAATCATCAATATTTTATTCTGGTGTCACCATTGTCCTGTGCATTGGGTTACCTGGACTAAGTCCAAGTCTATTCATTTCCACCCCAATGTAAAATCAAATTTAGCATTTTAAAATCAACAGTAATTTTTTTGTTAACCTTTTACCATATGTCTCGGAGTAGCCTATAGCAATAATATCGTATCGTGGGTGAGTTCAGTATCATGATACGAATCGTGACATGAGGGTATCGTTACACACACACACAACTTTTTCTCTGTAATTTCTCGAATGAGAATAATCGCGATTATAATTTGAACAAAATAATCGTGATTATCAGTATAACTATTATCGTGCAGCCCTATGTAGCTCACAGTAGATCGGTCTTTAGGTTTATATAAGATACTAAAATCAAATCCGCTCACGGAGAAAATGAACAGGGTTTTTTTCTCCCGGAACCTGCCTATTGCACTTTATAACGTTCCAAAACACATACTATTAGTTGTAAGTCTGCTATGATTCAGTGCATTAAAACATATTCGCTTAAATAAAATGTACATCTATGGTTCTTAGTTCAGCGAATCAGTGGGTGTGTACCATAGACTGTAGGTGTGTACCTACACTCAACGTAACTCCGAATGATTCAACTCAATTCGTGAATGAATCGTACAGACCGGAAGAGATCCGACTCAAAAGAACGATTCGTTGACGAATAGGACATCGTCGCTAGCCTACTACTGCTAACACACGCACAGTCACACACATTCCACAAGTGACCCAACCCACCAAACATAGGAAAACCGGCTATCGTGCTAAAGCTAAAGTCCCGGTTCAGCACGTCAAAAAAAAAAGGCCCAGTGACACTTTATTACACACAAAAGGTCACAGAAAAAATAGCGTAACATTATAACGAGCGCTGCTGTTGTTATAAATCAAGCTCATCTCACCCGTCAACCCCTGGGTTATATTTCCTCGTCTTCCACGGCGTGCCAGAGTTCTCATAATTGCTGTTACTAGTCAAGCTGGAGAGCAAGTAGTTTATCCCATAGGTGCTGGCCTTATTATCGCTTTTCCTCCGGCTCGGATGATGGTGGTGGTGATGGTGGTTGTGAATCGCTGCCGGATGGGACGGGTGGCGCTTCATGCAACTCTGCTGCTGCTGCTCTTGATTGAAATGCCGTAGATGAGGATGATGATGATGATGATGGTTGACATTATTCAACACGTTCTCGCTGCAAGTAAAAAATGGATGGGCCTTGTTCATATTCCCAGCGATCACATTAGGGCTTGTAGTCCTTATTTTAGAGCAACTGGACGCCAAATCCACCACCGAGCCGGTCTTTTGGGTCATACCGCCGTCTCCCGTGTTTCCATTTAACGGGTGAGCCACAGAGCCGCTACCCGGGATCGCAGTGCTGTTGTTTTTAATGATAGTGCTGTTATTTGCATTGGACGCTACAGTCTTATAAACGTCATACGCAGGATAATTGACACAGAGGTGGTTGTTGTGGTGATGGTGGTTCTGGTGCTGACCTGTGTTAGTCCGGTTTACCTGAGACGTTTCCCACACACGCATCCATAAAGCGTTCGCAGGACCTTTCTGTTCCGGCTGAATCCAAGCGACCCTCGGATCCATTCAACTTGTCTTTCTAACAGCCCTGTCAAACAAACGAACGCCTTTTCCCCCCGTTCAGCGGATAAGTTTGTGTCCGGACTGCGAGAATGTGCCTGTAAACTGGGTTACGCGAGACGACAGGGAAAATAACGACGTGCCAAACGCCACAACGGGAATCAATTAGTGGCTCTTTTCCCCCCGCTAGCTAAACTGTTAGCTAAACTATACAGTGTTTCCAATATGGCGTATATTCCCTTGAACCCCGAAATCCAGTACGCATGTGTAGGATTTAAACCATCGGAGCAGCACACACCCCCACACAACTCCTCACCGAGCAGGCGCAATCGGAGCCTATTCAGCAACCCCACCCTTCTAACCGGCATCCAAGCGAGGACACATTTGAATTTACAACCCTGGCTAAATCAATCTACACCGCGACTCCGCGACGCGATCAAACGCAGCGCGCGCTCAGTGAGCAGTGACGACGGCAGCTTCATGATTATAAATGGCCGCGTTCTTGTTGATGTGCGCAATAATAGCTAATGAAGAGATGCTTCTAGAATCTTTTAATATCACAAAGTTGCATTATGTGCATTGATATTTTATATTATACAATGTTGCATTGTCAAATATTGTGGAAAAGGCAAAAATAAGTGGACATCTACTATCTAAAAGTATTTAAATGGACTATTTTGAGATTAAAGAATAAAATCTGTTTTGGTGGCTAATCTTACTTCAAGGTCATTAATCAAACTTCAAGTCAGTAATCGAAGGCCTCCCTACCAAGGCGGATTTAATTTGTCAACTGTAGGCCTACTTTTGCTGAAATTCTGAAAAAAAGAGAACTTTTATCAACAGAAACTATGGCCTTAAAAAATCTAGAGATTAATCATGATTAATTGTTTTGATGTATAAACAATAAATACAAAATAAGTAATAATTATGATTAATCTAATTTGTTTAATACATTCTTCTATTTAAAAAAATACATGCAACAATGGTGTATGGTGTTTTCTTGATGCAGCAGAAGTTCTCCAGATGCAGAATGTGTCACTGAAAAAAACCTTCAGCTCCTGATGTGAAGTTAAAGCTGAAAACCAATATTAAATACTATGGTAAGCAAATCCTTAAAGGGACAGTTTACCCAAAAATGAAAATTCTGTCATTATTTACTCATCCTTATGTTGTTCTAAACCTGTATGAGTTTCTTTCTTCTGTTGAACTAAAAAGAAGATATTTTGAATAATGTTGGTAATCAAAAAGTTGACGGCAGCCACCGACTTCCATAGTAAGAAAAAAAAAAATACTATGAAAGTCAATGGCTACCGTCAACTGTCGGGTTACCAACATTCCTCAAAATATCTTCTTTTGTGTTCAACAGAAGAATCTCATACAGGTTTGGAACAACATAAGGGTGAGTAAATGATGACAGAATTTTCATTTTTGGGTGAACTGTCCCGTGAATTATTTTTTTAAAAAGATGTACACAGAAATATGCAAAAGGAAGCAATGCCAGTCTGATAAAACTAATGAAAAATAATGCATTAATTTCAAGGAAGTAAAACAATTTTACGCTCTAATTTGACATCGATTTTCCTTTTATTGCAAATGACATTAAAATTGCCATCTTGCTTTCGAGGAAAGAACAGGGTTTCTCTGTTGGTAATAATAAATCATAATCTGACATGCTGAAGAGAGCAGATAAGCTCCTCCCACGGTGATTACGCAAGGAGTGCTTTTGCTTTCAGCTCACGTGCAGCATGTGTGTACGGTGTGGGAAGCCCCTCACGGTCAGAACAGACATCTTGTGTGCTCATTGTTGTCACAGCACATGCAGAAACGCAGAGATGGTTAATACATACAGCGGATTGTGTATCCTGCTGCTCTTCAGTGTTATAACAAGCTCTAGCATTCTCCTACATTACTCAAAGGCTTAAGCCCAAGTGAGGGGGTTGCAAAAGGTCATGTATGCGTACAATGTGGTTTGCAGGGGGATTTCATCATTGCTTTGCCTGGGGCTGGGGTTATTTATCCAAAGAACGTCTGACAGATTGCTTACTGCCCCACCTGACTCTACCAACAGATTGACCACAAACATCTGAGAGGAATAGACTAGGATATTTTGAACTTCAATGTCAACAAATTAAACCTGAAGCATGTCTGAGGCATATGCTGAAGTAAAAGAAAACAGAGGAGCTGAACTATTAAAAAGACGGATAATAAGGTATATTATACAATTGTATAAAATACTTATTTCACACAGTATTACACAACAGACAACATGATATTTAGAAGCAATTTACATGACATTCCATAGTAAATGAACACTTTCCCTGCTGACATACAGCACACAACTCTTGCCATATTTCATACATTGTGCCTGAAGAAGGTATTATGAGAGCCTGCAGCATGTCAAAACATGTCAGCGATGGTAAATGATGATGTTACAAGCATAACTTATACAAAAGCAGTTGTAGCTATAATGGGAATGAAGAATCCATGAGTTTGTGACAATATTGTTGTACATTCGATGTAGTAAAGATAGTAGTATTATGGTCAATTTACCATGACTTGCATGATCTCTATAAACTTACAATAATTATCTTATGACGTAAAAAAAAACGACAGGCATTTCGAAAAACAAATAACCATAGCTTTCCTTTTATGGCAATGTATGCAGTTCTTTTTCTTTGAGAGCAGCATTCGGACTTGGGATACTTTTGGTTATTGATCTTAATACTTCATTTTGACAGCTTCATGTACTGAGGAAAAACCGGTTTGACAGAAGATGCATTTAATTGTGTTAAGATCTTAGACAGTCAAATCCATTCATCGCTATGACAATCATTTACACAATGTGCCTCTGTTGGAATTCATTAAATGCAATTTCTTAAATCTTCCAAGTAATCAGAAAAAATAACACCATTACACTTTTGAAATCTCCTTTCAAAACACTTAAACAGATTTTATTTTAACACTTTTTACAGTAACCAGGAACATTTTGACACAGATGCAAATTCACCATGAAGGGCTGAACATTTTGGATATGGGCTGAACCTGAAATCACATACTTCCCTACTATAAGTGAAAATCAGAATATAAAAAGAGTAGTGTTTCTAAATTCACAGTATTCATAATTAGGCAAAAAGTACCCATATGACCTACTACTTCTGCCAAAATCCTGAGTGTGCATCCAACGGACACTTTACTATCCCATGAGGCCACAGAAGAGGAGTTGTCAATAGCAGTGAAGCGATGCAAATGGTAGGTCACATGACAAAGACAACATGATAATGTACGGATTACATTCATCCTATCTAGAATTTACTTTTTTACGGTCATAAAATAATTACTCATTCAAAAAAAGAAGTACCTACTCAGAGAGTAAGCGATTTCGGATGCAGCCTAGATCTGTGTAAAATTATATATAGTCACACCTGCAGTACTCACTCTTCCAACAGATGAATCATGTGTACCGTCACCTTTTCTGAGGCCTTACTCAGATAACCTTGAATCCAGCATGACCAGCAGCACAGTTCAAAAAGTTTTGCCGACACATGGTTACAGTTTTTAAAAAAACCACTGAGTGACTTTATCGACCCAGGACATCATTCACTAGCTTCCCCTCATTAAAGTTAGACATCAACCTTTCAAGTATTCCTCAATCTAATTATAAACAATATAACAAGAAAAAAATCTGTTTTCTAAATATTTTTTTTTGTAAAAAGTGTATAGGTATACCCGAGGTATATACATGTTTTTTTTTTTTCTGCAATAGTTAAATCTCTGAGTCGTCAATAAGTGCAATTCACCTTTATTCCTTAAGGTGGCACTGTCTGATACATAATGATGATGTGATGTTTTGTCAAATTGAACCCTTCCAAGTTCCAAAAGGTAACAAACTATGCTTATTTTATTCTTTTGTAATTGTCATTAAAATATCAAGAGAGTTTTATACTATTGCGGCAGTTAGAGATCCATTCGTGTTAGATGTAGATCCGGGTCGCTAAAAACCCGAATATGTTATAATTGGCTATTGTAGAATTGTTCATGCATTTCAGAATTAATAATCAAGTTCTGCATTATGGTAGCAGCTGTCTGCCATGTGTATCTCATATGATCTCTCCATTGAGACACTGCGAGATCTCTCACAGTAATGCGGTTTTTGCACTTGATAAATGTACATGCTATAAAACTGAAAGAAAAATGTGTCTTGTAAAATTGAGTTTATGTAATGCTCACTGCATTTTCCCCAGTCTCTGTATGTTACGACACCACTTCCTTTGAAACACTGTGGGAGTGTGGCCGCTGCGCTGGGCTTACCACGGGATCAGAGCACAAACGGTATTAAAGCTTTCCTTGATTTTGGATAGTCTTCAAATTTTGTTAGATACCACCTGTAAAATGAAATGGCACATTTCAAACAACAATCTGTCATACTGATATCAAAATATTTATTATTATAGAACATGTCTAGGTCATATTTCACCCTAAAAAAATAAGTGAAAAATAAAATAATAAAATATTATTTAATATATTTTTGCAGATGTGAAAGCACTTCAATAAATGAAAGTGTAAAAACATTATAGAAGTTTAAGTTTAATGTAAAAATCAATCTAATAAAAAAAAAAAAATGTTTTATACAAATTTTTATATATATATATATATATATATATATATATATATATATATATATATATATACCAAAATAATTTGGACTCTAAAATTTTGATTGCTAGAAAATCAAAGTCAAGCGTCTAACCTACATTTGATATCACAAAAAATGAGCCCGCTTAAAGGTTTTAAAATACCCTTTCCATGGCAAGGCAATATGCAATTTCAAAAGGTTTTCAAAGGATGAATTTTGAGCGTTTAAGCTTTCGATTATACCTAATTTATGATGATTACTAAAATATGTGAAGGGAAAAATGACAACGAAAAAGTGCAGCAAGTGTCCTTCTACCAGGATACTGACAGTTACCAAGTTAAATGTTTAAATAGTTATATGTCATTGTAGTAGCTGTTGAAATTCCTTTATGCTTATTGAAATCAGTTATTTATAATATAATATTACAGGAATTTGAATCTGATGAGAATAATCATTGGGAAAATGAAAATTACTCACAAAAATCATCTACAATTTATGGGGGGGGGAAATGTGCTTAACTCTGGTGAAAATCTTGACTGTCCTTAAATAGGCTTCATCTTTTTAACAATTTATAATATTATTGTTATTTATAATATATTATTAAATATATATTTATATTTCTTATGAATCTGGAATTAAATCAGACATATAAGAATTGATAAATGAGAACAGTAAGCGTTTTTTTTTTTTTTTTTTTTTGATAATTGCAGTCAAATTTAGAAAGAATCCATTGTTTCACACTGTAATGCCTTACTTGTGGTGGGCCATTCCTCTGCAGGACAGCACAATAAGAGTGAAGAGAGCGAAAGCTGCACTATGGACCGAGTGACCGGCCAGAGCAAATCCAGCCCATTCCACAATCTCACCTAAGAAGTTCGCTCCAGATACATACTCAAACATGCCCCCTATGAACAGAAAATAGTTATGAAGAGACACTCAAATGGAAGACATCACACAAACAGTCTGTTTGCAAAGCAATAAGAAACCAATTTCAAGTCAGTTTTAAAGCAGTGAAACTGCATCACATGTGTCTAATGAAGTGTGAAACCATCTGACCAGCATCCTGTCTGGTTTAATTTGTCAGAAATAAAGCATGTCTGATTCATCATATCAGACATCACTTCTGCATCAAATAAAACAAGAACAAGCTTTTGGATCTTAAACAACTTTAACATACCACAATAATTTAAAATCCCTTTGTTTTGGCTAAACAACTTCATCTATCAGTCAATTCACTTTTTTTTTTTTTTTTGAAGGCTGACTGACTTGCTAAAAAAAAAAGCATAATATTTTTTGATAATATCATCTGAAGTTGTTATGTCAGACCGCTTTAAAATACTTTTAATAAAAAAGAAAAAGTTAGTGAAATAAGAGATGATTTACATGATTTATATTTTGCATGGACTGAGTGTTTAGGAAAAGAGATAGAAGTTCATGCCATGTCACAAATGATTATGATCTCTAGAGCTGGTTGGTCCTGACAAGTTGATGAGGAAATGAGTCATGACCAGCAAGGGCATCTATTTTTGTTTTCATTACGAGTCAAAGTCAAATTCAAAAGATGTTTTAGCATTACGTCAACACTAAAACCAGCACTGCCCTAGCGTTGACCGCCCATTAAGGCTGAATGCATGTGGTATGGTTCAAATGATTTGTGCTGTTCTGAATACTCTTGAATTTTATGTATATTGGCACTGTGCGCATATGAACATTTTATGAATTGTTGTGAGTATTTAAATAGTGTGATTGAGTCAAAACAGTCTATTCCTAAAATCTAAAGCTGAATGTCATGTTCCTAAGCTGTCACTCAAAATGTTGTGATTGTTTTATAATTATGTGGAACATGGTAAAGATGCGAAGCACAAAACATTTTAGTCCATTTCAATTGAACAATTTAGGCCACAATTCTCTCTCTAACATATTTCAAATTCATAAATGGTGCTGTCAGTCTAATAATTATTGTCTTACCTCTAGGTATCTTATAGCCCGTCTCTCCAGGCTTGCGAAGGTTCCTGAGGATATGGTCAGAGTGAATGTTAATGATGCATCCCAGGAACCACATACAAGACCCTGAAAAACAACAATGCATAATAGATTCAGAATATGAAACATTCTGCACAACTGTTTTCAACATTGATAGAAATCTGATTGATCAGAAATGTTTCTTGAGCAGCAAATCCACATATTAGAATGACTTCAGAAGGATCATGTGACACTGAAGACTAGAGTAATGATGCTGAAAATTCAGCTTTGCCATCACAGGAATAAATTAAAATGTACAATATATTCACATGAAAACCTGGTTTATTTTTCTGTATTTAACTGTAACTGTGTTTGTGTGTGTGTATATTAGATAAATCTAAATACTAATAGAATTTGTAGAATTTGTAACAGTGAATGACAGCTAATGTTCGGTCAACATGACAGCTAGAGTTCAGAAAGAAAAACCAATATACTCTGCAACCAGGTCAGGTGACCTAAGGTTCAGGGAAAAGATCTAGAACGTGAGAGTAACAATAATCCTAAAGTGATTTTTTATGTCTCTTCCCTTGACGAATAGTCATTGAATGTGCCGTGTTCTCTCATATCCATACTGATGGTGGCATGGTGGTGATGGATGAATTCCAGTGTCAGCTCTTAAAGCAATTCTTGTTTTTATTTTCAGTATTTATTATGAATGAATAATCCGTGCAAATCATATATTTAAAAAAAATCATATGCTCTACTAATCTTTAATCAAAATAAGTTCCCCTCCCTTCTACAAAAACATCTCTTTTCTTCTCATGACGCGTTTACTGGTGCGAGGGCGGAACAACATGTCACTCACATGGCCGTAGCCAGCTATGAGGTCACCGAGGTCCGGACCTCGGTCATTTTTTTTACATTCAAAAATAAAATGTCAAGCTCTCTGAATGATTAATTAGCAGTGTTTAAACCACCTCATATGAGTGTTTGCAATTCATGTTGCTGCGAGAAGCTGGCGCAGTGAACTGAACGGGGCTTGAGAGCGCGTTGTGAACGCGGGTGCAGCCTCCGTGTTGCCAGATCCACCTAATAGAAAGGTGGCAGTAGTCACCTGTTTTTCTGATTTAATGTGACACTTTAGGAAGTTATTAATGTGGGAAGGTTTAGTGATATATTAACCTTATTTCCAAAACACAAGCTTTGAACTTATTTCGGATTATTATTATTATTTTGTTTTGCTTGTTTTTCGTAGCAATATCTGGCAACATTTAACTGTCGGCATTAATACATTTAAAAAAAAAGAAGCTTATAGACAAACTGTAATTGCATAAAGCTACCACATTCGGTAAGACAAACGCAATGACAATCGATTATCTGTAAGAAATGTATAACACTATCAAAAACAATAGCATAAAACAGATCTGTATGTTAGCCTACAGAATGAAATTTGCCAAATAACTTACTGGCCAGCTGGAAGACGGCTCATGCTGTTTAGTTAACCTTTCACAAAGCCATCATAAAAACATTAATTAAAGCAGTGTTTCTCAACTAGCAATCTATTCAGTCAGCATATTTGTGTTTGATCTGTGTGAATTTCGTCCGAATTTGACGAGTGATTAAAAGATGGCTAATTCGTAACAGTTCGTACGACCTCACTCGTACGAATTAGTACGATTTTTGCTAAAACGTACATATTTGACGAGTTGCCCAATTCGTATGAATTCGTACGAATGACCCTGACCCCGCCCCTAAACCTACCCATCACGTGGGTTTAGACAAATCGTACAAATTCGTACGAATGAGGTCGTACGAATTCGTACGAATTAGCCATCTTTTAATCACTCGTCAAATTCGGACGAATTGGTCGTGAGATTGCGTTGAACTTGCTAGACCTACTTTTTCTTTGCACAAAACTGTCCAGAAAGTGCCATTTTGGTTTATTTTTCACAAAAAAAATCCCGGGGGGGCAAACCCTCGGACCCCCCTAGTGAGAGACTACCCCACACATAATTAAATCCAAATTTAACCCCTGTATATATATATATATATATATATGCCAAATTCCATAAAAAAAAAGGGTCACAGCTTAATGTCCATTGGGAAATGTGGTTCCAATGGCCAAACCATTATTATAGCAAAATTCTTTACACAACACCCCGGACCTCACTAATTTTCAAACCCTGGTTACGGCCTTGGTCACTCACATGACATCACAACAGAGAGGCGAACAACAGAGATACAACAATCCAATCAATTTCCAAATTCCAATAGACAAAATCAAGTCCCGCCCTGCATTTTTTCTTGTTCTAGAAGCGGTTTCACTCACATATAAGTCACAATAAGGAAGAAAAGACTATCACAACGTCCGTTGCATGCCGACTTTAAAAGGTTGAACGAAATCAACACTAGATTCTATCATATATGAAAGAGAATAAGATGATGATTGAAAATGACACTTATACACTGTGAATAATTGCTCACTAGTACCCACCTGTGATGAAACAGGGATGTGTAACCCAATCAGGTGGGTAATCTGCATAGTGACTCAGGTATCTTGCCTGCAGGTACCCATTATAGATGCAGAAGACAAAGGCCAGAGCAAACGAGATGAATGGTGTTGATTTTCCTCCTCGAATTAAAAATGGGTAGATGAGGGACCTAGGAGAAATATATATTTAATATAAAGTTGCCACTTGCAAGACGATATAAGATAATTTACTGACACATGTATGGACTTTTCCCCACCTCCATACCTTTGCGCGTAATGGCAACAGAACATGAGAAGAAGCAGTTGGTTGGGCAGGTGTATTATCTTTGCACATGGACTCCATAGTACCAAACACAAAGGCACCAGAAAAGCAGGCAATTCTTGAACGAACCAGGCTAACTTGACATTTACAAGGAATCCATACCTGCTGGATGCATATCTGCCGTAGGGCACGTGCTCAAAGAGTAAAGTCACAAAAGTTATGAATGCCATCACCATCATCAAGTACGATAAACAATCCAAAACGTACCGTTCTTCCTCCTCCGAAGAAAATAATATCTTCAGAATAGCGTCCATAGTTGCTAATGGAAATACTACTTATAAGCAGGTTTAGGTAAGTTAATGTTTGTGTGTAACTCGTTCTCGTGCAAGAAGCTGACTCCATGGACATCTGGGAGACCGCCCATCTACTAACGTTACTTGTATTTAGGCAATCAGGAGAGGCAATGGGCGGGGTATCTGTCAAAACCATAGACAAAACACGCCTTCATGCAAGTAAATAAATTCTAACCAATAAATAAACGTTAGTACAGCAAGAAGCAATATATATAACTAAAACGTAAAACCAATTTAGTAGTGTTTCTGAGAAAATACAGAAAAACAAATCTAACTTTCGGTGAAACTTTTGAAACCTCAAATTTTAATTACGCATATTTTTATTTATATATATTTTTTATTTTGACATCATAGATTTTTGTGTTATTTTTATCTGGCAATAAGTTTATTTAGATTGAATGTCAAAGGTTTAGAATAAATACTACTGTATTTTAAATTTAAATGCGCCAAAGAAGGAGTCTTTCAGTCGGGCAATATTGCGGACACCAAAGAAGGGGTCTTTCAGTTGAATGTGCGCTTGTTTGGACTGCGTCACATACACGTGAGTTGAGTTCAGCAGGAGCTGAGGAGTACAGTTACTTAGACATTATTAGGACAATCAATCAACACGCAACGCAGGTTTATATCCAGAGTTGTATGCGTCTGCAACATGGGCAGAAGAAATAGAAACAGACAAAAACCTCAGCAGTTCAGAGATGGAAGACCAGAGGCGAAAAGGAGTAGAGATGATGCTGTGAGTTTGCTAGCTAACTGCTCTAGCTTCTTACTTTTCTGCTCAGTGCCAATGCTGCACATTCATTTATAAATGTAACATATGCTACATTGTAAATGCACACATCATATAGTCACATCAAAATTATTGTGTATATATATATATATAACAATGTAATATCGTGGTTAATGGGATGTGGGTAGTGATAGTAGTACTGTATACATAAAGTAATAATTGGTGCACTCGCACGGGTTCTTTTTGCAGGGTTGGGGAGCTGGATACTCTGAGATCATCAAGGAAAACAAACTCTTTGAGCATTACTACAAAGAGCTGAAGATTGTCCCTGATGGAGAGTTTGAGGAGTTCATGGAGGCCATGAGGGAGCCACTGCCAGCTACAATACGAATCACAGGATACAAGAGGTCCAACATTACACGACAAACAGTGTTTTGACTACCACACAATTTGACCTGTTAACTGTCAGTCTCCTAGTAGCAAGACACTTGGCACGCTTTTTTATTGCCTCTTTTCCCTATAACATATTTTAGTAATCATCAAAAATTAGGTGTCATTCGAAAGTTTAAAGGGGTCATATAATGCCATTTTTGTACAAGCTAATATGATTCTTTAGGGTCTAAATTAAAAGTTTGTAATATACTTTAATTAAAAATTCTCATTAGTATTGTAAGAAAACACTTATTTTACCTGGTCAAAAACAGCTCTGTTTTCAGCACGCCGTTTCAGTGCATATGACTTTAAATGATCATGAGCTTTGCTGACTCCGCCCCTCTGTTCTATGCGTACACCAGAGCTCTGGCGTACACCATTTGTAACTCAATAACCATAACGCGTTGTTCAGTATAAACGTGGGATTATGAATTATATTGAGAACGTCATACATAGAAAACATGCCGTAATGTACCCTGAGTGTAAACCTTAGACGCATTCATTGTGAAGCGTGCAGCTAGCGATTTGCAAAGATTAATATATTAATATAAAGTTTAATAAAACGTTACACTCACTAACGTTCTTCTGGAGATTCAGCAGGAACACGAATATCTGGTAGCAGCTACCGATCCATTTTTCATGAGCAGCAGCTTAGCAAATCCAGCTTTATACTGTTCCTCGTCTATAAAGCAGTCTGGTGAGAAATGATTAGCGCAAAAACGCATTGACGTTGCTCGTGGGGAATATTCCCTTCGAAAACAAACACAGCCACTGCGTCTTCAGCGGTTCGGATTTAGGAACATTAAAATGACTGCTGTGTTCGTTATTACACCCAAGAACAGAACACCACAATCGCTTAGACACCATTCTGCTCATAGACAGTGCTCCAGCATATCAACAATGACCGCGCCGGTCCGCGCAGACTATGATTGACAGCTCTCTCATGGAGCTGATCTCACCCGCGAGGGCGGGTCTGTGTTGAGACGCTCCTGTCAATCAACAATCGTGGGAGGGGCTTCCGAGCGTGTGACGTCACACGGTCGAACGGCTCGATTTGAGGCAGGGGAAAACATATAAGGAGATTAAAACATAACCACTGGATGGATTTTTATCATTATATGATGGTTGTGTACAGACACTGCCAACACACATTTCAGTACAATCAACTTGTAAAAGTGCATGCACCATTATATGACCCCTTTAAAGTCACCAATAGAGCCCGACCGATAAAGGATTATGAAGGCCGATACCGATACAAATATTTGTTGGTTTTAAAATCCGATAAACCGATATATCGGCCGATATTTTTTTTTACAGAAACGCGCAACAAAACATTAACAGATTTCCCTAACATTAGTTATTTGTAGTTATTTATGAGTTTTAACTAAAATAATATGATAATGCATTTTAAAAAGAAACTTGTTTCTTTTATTGTCACAACAGAACAGAGGAACATCAAAATATATTAAAGTTCTGATAAATAAAATGTATAAAAATACAAACTTAAGATATGAAACGTAAAGTCCTTTGAACAAAAACAACAACCAAATCAAAGTTACCAGTATTAAAAGACTTGGTATAGCTTCATAAATATAACTTTGAACTATACTACTTATAAATTGTTAACAGTATATATGAGGTAGTGTACTGAATCAGTCAATCCTCAATAGCTCCAGTCCAGCAGAGGCAGGTTGTAGTACAAAAAGCAAAGTTTCTCTGCATTTTCTCCTTTCAAAGAGCTTCGCCTATCCTCATAAATATTACCTATGGTGCTGAACACTCTTTCGCTCGCCACAGAGGAGGGTGGACAGGAGAGGTACTGCCTTGCCAAAACTGACAGTCTGGTGAAACGGTTGGTGTTGTGTTTCCACCAATCATATGGATTCCCACTCTTTCTGTCAATGACAGGCTCTCTGAAGTACCGTTCTAGCTCTTCGATGATCCCCTCTGGTTCCACTGCCACACTGGTGGATGGAAGGAGCACAGTGTCATACAGCGAGTCTAAGAGACTGGGTACTTGGTCCTCTGTTCTCGGCCTTTTGGGATCGGTCTCCTCAGATCCTCTCCTCCTATTGCGTGGCATAATCTGGTGGACTGGTCTCCATAGCCTCTTTTAGCCAGGTTTTCACTTTTACCAGAATTTCTGGTACCAAAGGCCGCTCTTTGTAGCGTGGGTCCAGGGCACAGGCAAGCACCACCTCTTTAGCGTCTTTAACTTTTGCAAATCTTTTTTGCAAATTGTCCAGCATGAATTTTCTTGTGGTTTGAATACCCCTGGTGGTTGGTCCCTCTGACTCCAGTAAACGTTGTAACACTGCTAAACATGGTATAATGCTGAATTCCAGTGTCACCTCCTCCAGTGGTCCAAGGGTCTCTGCCAGGTTCGACGCAATGGACCATTCCTCTGCTGACAGACATGAGAAATGTCCATGGTCGCTAGCATATGCAGTGATGGCTCTTTTCTGTTCAATCATCCTCACCAACATGTGCAGTGTCGAGTTCCACCTTGTCTGTACTGCCTGTATGATCGAATGCTGTGGGACACCTAGCTCCTCCTGAATTTTAGATAGGCGTTGCTGTGCCGTAACAGAGTGGTTGAAGTGAGTTGCAATTTTCTTCAGCTTTGCCAGAATGTCCACCACCACTCTCTGGGAACTGAGGCCATCATTGATAGCTAGGTGCAGTATGTGAGCACTGCAGCTCAGGTCTGGCATCTCAACAAGGCGCATGCCTTTCACCATATTTGCCCCACTGTCTCTGAGTACAAGCATGACCCGCTCCTCATCAATTTCCCATTCTTCAAGCATGGACAGAAATGTCTCTCCAATGTACTGTCCTGTGTGGGACTGTGACAAGGATTTCACGTTCAAGACAAGTTGGACCTTTTTCCAATTCTTGTCAATGAAATGAGCAGTCAGGCTCATGAGTGCCTCATTTGACCCTGACCAACAGTCGGTGGTAAAAGAAATGCTGTTACCTGCATTTTCAACTGACAGCAGTTTCTTTATTTTGTTTACAACTCCTGTGTAAATCTCATCCATCTTCTTTGTACGGAAAAATGTATCTGTCTTTAATGGGTATCTGGGCTCTGCTTTGGCCATAACCCTTTTAAACCCTGCACCCTCAACAACTGTAAAAGGCAGGATGTCAGTGGCTATCATCTCCATCAGGAGTTTGTCCATTTCTTGAGTTCTTGGATCATTTGGAGTCCATTTTGTGGTTTTCTCTAGCACTTGTTTTAGGTTTGGCTGTGTCATATTCATCAATGATGATGTGGTTGGCTGTGCTTCTTTTTGCCTCTTGTCGTACATCTCTTTGTGTTTTGATTTAAGGTGTGCCCACAAGTTGGATGTATTTTTAAATTTGAGGCTGCCAGATCCCTGGCTCACAGAGGCTGTACAGATGTTGCATGTGACTGTACCTGATGGGCCTTTTGTGAAATGCTCCCATACTTGACTTCGTCCACCACTTGCCATCTGTTAAAATATAAAGTAAACAAGCCAGATGAGATACACAAAAAACAACATAACATAAAACGTAACATAAACATACAAATAAAATGATTGCTGCTACAGCCACAACTATTACTACCAGCATTATTATTATTATTATTATTATTATTGACAGTGATAATTATAAAAAATAATGATGACATTATTACTATATCATCATCATTTATATTATCATTAAACAAGATAAAGGTCATTCCTAAATGTTTGTGTGCGTGTGTATTGTAATAATTAGTCCCTACATTTCCTTATAAGCTACCTTATAATTACAATGTCAGCTTGCTTATCCCTTTACCTGCAGTTTTTAAATTCTTTCCATCAAGCAACATCAAACCATTTTCAA